AAAGTGAAATAAGATATGATATGATTTCAATACTTTGTAGCATTTCATTACTTTGTTTTAAATGTTTAAAATTTTGCAATTTTGTGTTAATCCATCCAATCTTAAAGTCATCATTGGCAGATGCAGCTTTCCTAAGAACTGGACTTTTAAAAGTCAAAATTATGGCCGATCTTTCTGAAAATGTTAAATGAACAGGGAAATAAAGGGAAAAGTGCAATTACTAAGAATCTCAAAAATAGAGTTATGTCCCTTTATCTTTCATTTTCACTACAAACCTCTCAGCTCTGATTTTTGTGTTCCTGCTCATAAATCCAGAGGGAATGCTGTGGGTGGTGGGCTGGATGGGGGTGGGAGGATACACTGTCGTCTAATAGGGGAATCAACCCTTTCAGTTGACAAAGACAGCAACCACATCTTTAGATGGTTTATTCGATCTGCGTGAAAGAGTGGCAGTGGGATTTCTGGCACTTGAATAAGCGGAAACAATATTTTTGGCTAGAGAAACTTCTCCTGAGTTCTCTCAGGGAGCCTTCTAGAAGGCCATCTGGACCAAGCAGTATTTCTTTTGTAAAACCCTGCAATTGGAAACAGAAATGAAAGGTGTGCGAGCGGCAATCAGACACCTATGAAAATGATCTGCTTTCAATATTTTGGGAGGAGGGATGTGTTACTGTTCATAAAGTTTCTAGATGGAGAGACTTACATAAGGAAGAAAACTCTTACTTTCCTTTTTCTTTCTTTATTAAGAGATACGTTTCCAGTTTATATTCCAGTAGAAGATGTGCTTATTAATGTGAACTTATCAGCTTGCACTGTCTTTCTCTCCGCAGTGAAATGAGAGTGTTGGCTATCTGTGATATTCACAGTTCTTAGGTCAGGTAGTGACCTTGTTTTTGACATTTGTGATTGTTAGTTGAACCCAGAATTTAAAGATGAACACTTCCCCTTCCTCAGGCTTTAGCCAACTTGTGAAGCTATAACAAAGGAGAAATATTGAAAAAGCTAAACAAAATCCTTCCAAAACCAAACAAAGCACGCATATCCATTATATGAATCAAAGAGAATGTTCGGAAAACTGAAAATGAAGCAAAGCCGTATTTGTAGCCAGATACTTCAAAATATGAATATTCTAGCAAAGTATCTTTAAAAATTTGACACACATAACACATTGTGCTATTCCTTCACATTTTTCTGTTAGAGTCTCCATTTGGAAAGAAATGGTAAATTCCTATATTAAGATTTCCTGTGATTAGTGACTGTTTTAAAAAAGCAACTGTTTCCTTTAGCTGTCATTTTTGCCTAAGAAGTGATGAATATGGAAAGATTAAAAACTTTAGCACTAAGTTCATAATATAGATTTGAGCAAATATATGTTATCATACATACTTGAATGTTTATATGTTGTATAAACATGTATGCTATATGTATTTGTTTATATAAAATTATTTCTATTGATATCAATTAATATTAGATGATTATTTGCTTCAGATGTTTTCAAGTATCCAATTTTTATACTATACAAAATTCTTTATTGATAAAAAAGAATTATTGAAATCATATTACTTTAATAAGCATATTAAATTCATTTTGAATGAATAATTTTCCAATATTAATGGAATCACCATTATTATAAAAAAGACATAAAAATGGAATTAACTTTTAAGAAAATCCTTTATAAATTTAAAACAAATTATGTGGAAATGATTTATCCTGGCTAAAGCATTTTACCAAATAATTTGAAACTAGAACAATTAATGGTATGCAGGTTGTATCTCAAAATACATTTTTCTGGAAGGATGGAAGAAAGTCAGTTTGATTAGTATTGTGGATGGAGACCTTACAGCTGATGTCGGCTAAATTGAAGACATTTTAGTTTCTGGGAATTAACATAGGAGCAGAGATTACTTAGAATGTCTAAACTTTTTCCAGCAGATGTTAATAAGATAAGATAACCTAGAATCCCCAGTGTCAGTCTCTAGCCCTAACTCTGATTACTGTCACTGGACTACTGTGCCAGGCAAAATTTTTTAGCCTGAAAATACCTTTCAGTTTCCTGAAACAAAGCAGCCACAAGAATCACTGCCTGCCAAACAGGGACAGATGATATGAGCTGATTGTTATTTCTTTTAATGTGAAGTGATTGTCAACCAACATTATACTAAGGATATCAAACTATTTCCTTAGGACTTTTAATTAAAATAAACATCCCCCAAATTCTGTGATACCAAAGTCTGATCCCCAATAATTTATCTGCTCATGGTCGAAGTTGTCCCATGAATTTTGCCATTTGGAGAGGATAGGAAGAAAAGGTAGAGCTTTTATGTTTGAATAATAGTAATGATTATTACTGTAGAGAACACAAATGGCTCAGCACTAACTGTGAACTTCAGCTATACCTTTGGTGTTTGGGCAGGATATAATTTAAGATGAGAGCAGGAAGAAGTAGAGAAAAGCAAAGATACATAATTTTTCCTTCTTGGGTCATTTCTACATAAAAGCATTACTTGAATGAAATTTTCATCAGAGGGAGGAAAAAGGTCTTTTGGAAATTTATGACTGTCACACTAGGACACAAACCACCAGTTTCCTATCTTTGAGAGAGTCATCTGCGCTTTGGACAAAATATCTAAGGGTTCATGTGTTCATCAGTGATTCACATTTGACATAAAACAGACTAGATGTTTGTTGGAAGCAACACTTTATACAATTGTGCAACCCATTTACACAAAACCTTTACAAACAGAACCCACATTATTTAAACCCCAAGATCCCCTCAAGATCCAGAGTCACCTACCTGCAGATCCAATTTCTGTGACCGGCCAGTTTATAGGCAAAGTGAAAGAAACATGCTAACTGGATAAAATAACCATATGTCCCTACTGGAAGCCCCATTACTTGAATCATTTCAACCTTGCTGGACAAAACACCAGGAGAATTTGCTGTAGGAAACAAACCTCCACAAATGGGGCAGGGAAGAAATTACCTAATAGTTAGTCTCCCCTCTGCTCTAATTTCTATGGTTCTGTGTTAAGAAAAGCCATCCTGCCACACTGTTGTGAGAGCTTATGCCCCAACAAGAGGGCATTTCTTATTTTAAAAAAGTCCAGAATTGAACATTTAAGTTGCCGTCATCAAAAGGTATGGCAACTTTGGGAGCATTTTCCCAAGGAACAACACTTTTCAAGATACAACGGGAAAGGGTCATTTTCCTCATTCAAAAACGTAAATGCTAAGAAAAACACGTGTTTCTGGTTTGACTTCTGTTTGTTGGCTACTGAAATTCAGGGTAACCTCTCCCACACCCCTGTCTGCTTACAATGCCAACTGGCCTCCTTTGATGCTACCCAGTGTGAAACCCAGCTGGGATGGGTCATAGACACAGTGCTGGTCCAGACTGGAACTCTGCTCTCTCCTTTCAACGGTTTACATGTTGCCCCAGTTTCCTATTTCACCAGGAAGTGTTTATGTCCTCAGCTGGCACAAGGCTCATAGCAGAGGTACAGAGCATTCAGTGTGGGTGTGCGTGGGCAGGTATGCGAGAGAAGGGGGTGGATAGAGTTATTTGCACATGTGCATGGGAGTCCATGGCTCTTCATTCTAGGTGAATATCTAGATTTATTCATGGGAATCTTGATTTGGGGTTAAGACACAAAAATGGACATTAAACACAAGGTCAACTTAAAATACTGTTTCTATGAAATGCATTACTTTTCTGATGGCCACTGTTGATGGGAAATGGGAGGATGCTATTTATCATGAAATTGGTATAAGTCCAAATTGGATATTTCCAATGTAACATATTCTGCCTTTGGATATTAAGTGTGAGTTTGTGCAAAGATGAGCCTGCTGGTGTGTGAGTGTGCCCATGTGTGCATAGGTTGAACATGGACTTCCTTAGGGAATGACCCATTTAATATTGTTACCCATTTTGGCAAGTCCTGGGATTTTTCAAGTGTCCTTGCCGCCAGTGAAAAGTGCAAGGGACATGTCTCACATGGATGTCACAGGTTCAGGTTCACCACTAAAAACCAGTTTTTCTTTTTTCTTTCTTTTCTTTTTTCTTTCTTTTTTTTGCAGGGGGGGAATGGTTAATATTCAGAACTGTAATAAATTTTCAATATTCTTTCTCCTAAGTAATTTTGCATTGTAGGTATCAAAACTTTACTCCTTCTGGAAGTCACGAGGCTGAGTTTAGAGATTACCTCTAGGATAGATTTATAAATGTAACTTTCCCTCCTATCCTCTTAAAAAGAGGCAAACGGTATTATTGCAAATAACCTTTAAGATAATTAACTGACAATGCTGCAACTAGCATAAAATCTTCCTTCAGGCGACACCTAATTTAAGTGTTACTGGCACAAAGTGGAGACAGATTGTGCATTACCACTGCAATATTTACATAGCAGAAACCCACAGAGCAGGAAACGCGAGGCTCAATGATGCACTAAATTAGGAACAACCGTACTCCAGTGTTAATTTGCTTTCCATTCCATCCAAATCTCAGGTCCAGAAATCGGTACAAACACATATACAACCTCCCACTCTCAGATGACTAAACCGGAGGAGATGTCTGTACTTTTTCCCCCCCAAATTAAAATAACTTGAAATTTATTTCTTTCCTCCACAAGAACCATTTAGTCAAACTGTGTTTATTTCATTACAACTTGTTCTCACTTTGATCTAAGATTATTTTCATATGAATGCTGCATAGAAGTCTGTAGAGAAAAACTAAACAGACTTCTATTTTCTCTAAGGCTGCCAATATATTTTATGAAAAGAATAAAATGAGAGACTTGAGAGCCAGTTAGTGAAATATTTAGGAACATGGGCAGGGCAAATCTACCTCAAGCAATTTTCTCACTGGTGAATGTTGTTCCCTCCCTTTCCCCCTCCCCAGATACAATGAGTTTTCTTAAACCATTCACACAACATATTTGTTTCATTCTTCCCGACAATATTTTCAACACTACTTTCAGCCAAGGCATTAATGAAACATTTACCTTTCCTAATTGTTGATGTTCTTTAAAGGCAGCAATCAGTTCTTCAGCCCACTTAATTTTTTCAGGGGAAGGAGAAAACTGCTCCTGGACCACGGCAATTTGGTTAGGGTGAATCACCTGCTTACCTACAAGAAGATTAATAACGTCGGAACCACGAAACAACGAACAGATGTTCAAACAAGATGTTTCTATCGCGTGAGGTTCCTGAAGGCCTCATAGACTGTATGTTAAATAACTAATTTAAAACTTTTTATTGAGAACACAAAACAAAACAAAACCTGCAATCAGACAGGCTTTTCCAGAATAACCACAGAAGCAAAACTACAACAATGGAAGTAATTGTGTTTCCGATCCTATAGAAATGCCACCTTAGGGCAGATAATCTCTTATTTTTAGTTACAGGTGGGCTGACGAGGCAGCTTGTTGAATAACTGCTTTGGCTGGGACTTTAAAGGATAATGTCTGCAAATTAGAGGGATTATTTTTAGTTGAAGTAGAAAAAATTAAATGAGAATTCTCTCAGATTTTATAAGGTATCTTTTGCTTTCTTTGTAGAATTATACCTCTTTCCATGATTTCTCTTAGAAATGGTCTGCTGGTTTTCATAAAGCTTACAGATGCAGTCATTACAACTATATTATTATCAAATACAGTCTTACAATAGTACATTTAATTTTTTTTCTTTTAGACGAACATAGTTTATGTGTCATTTCTAACCCCCAATAGAAAATTGGATTTGAATGAAAATATTTTATTCAGTATGGTAAAATAGAAGGCAGAGTTGAACATTGCAGCCTCTGGATTACTCCATTTAAAAATTTAAAAATAGATACTTAAAGTTTCTCTGTCCAAAAATATACCCAGATTTTCCCTTTTGGCTTATAGAATCAAGACTGGGTATTTCCCTCTTTATAGCTCCCTACATATCCCAGAAGAAATCTTATCTCTGTAGAAATACCTTCCAAAAAGATTTATGATTCTTTTTATAGTTGAAAGATTTTAAATGAAAACATCATACAAAGATAAGAGCCATAGGATTTTGTGAAATAATGCAGTCGTTAAAAAAACAATTTAACAATCAGGGAAGTGTGGAATCCAATCAGATCATTAATAAAATGCAACATAATTTAATGTTATAATAATGATGAGATTATATTGTGCTATGTGATAAAGTTATGAACATAATTGGCTCTTTAAAAATAATGTACACTTAATGAACATTTACTCTGCTAAATATATTTGTTGGTACATCAATTTGCTTTGCTTTTGAAATAGTTATTTTAACATTTAGACAGTACGAATTATATCCTTGATGTTTTATATCTTGCTGTCAGTTCCTATTACTTGCCATTATTCTGTTAGAATGAAAAAAGGAATGATGCTTGTAAAAACATATTTTTAGTGTTTCATGTAAAAGAGTTTAAGTGGATAAATATAATAATATCTTTTCTTTCCACTGGCATAATTAAAACATCCTCACATTGCTATTCCATTCTTTTCTGTCAGCATACTAATAAAATGTTAAACGCTTTTATAAATAAAGATTCTTTAAATTACCTGAGGAATAATTTCTGGGAACGAATAACATGAGGGATGACAAGAGGGCTTTTTTCAGTAGTAGGTATTGAGATTATATTTAAGTAATCTAATAGTTGTTAGGATATTGTTAATAAAGGATGTCAGTTCTGGTAGTCATTTCCTACTAATTGTTAGCCCTGAATTTCATAATTTATGTACATAATTTACACCAAAGTGTAAAAAGCCAGATTTCATGGGAACTTCTTGGTACATGCACTATAATTTGAGGAGCACAAACTACTTAAAGTACTGTGAAATCACTGCTAGCTCAAACTACTTAAAGTACTGTGAAATCACTGCTAGCTCTCCATCCTCCGGTGCCTATATTTTGGCAATGAGGCTAATTTAAGATCCATGTTAGGTTTTAGAAATGTATGGGCACTCAGATGTGAAGTTCTCTTTCGTCACATCTTAGCTATTCCAACACTGTACAGCAGACTTTAATGCCATGTGGGAACCAAGCAAATATTTTATACAGAAGAGTTGTTATTGACAAGTTACTGAGAGGGTGCAAAATTGGAAGACATTAAAATTTATGACCATGAAATCCTTTTTACAGTACCGCTTGATATATCGTGCTTTAAATCAATACCTGTCAAGTCTTTTAGGTAACTGTATGATGGTGTCATTTTTGTCTTCTACAATAGACTGCAAAAAAGAAGAAAACCTATAGTGCTTCATATTTATAATCTTTCTTCTCAGCATGTAGCACTGGAGTAACTGTAATGACGAAGTCAGCTGTTAAAGCTTTATTCCAAGATTTAGTTTTGGCTTCTTTTTTATAAAAAAATTCCTAAAGTTAATGGCCATTTATACAGCCAATGCATTGATTTAAAATCAATCGACATGGACTGTGACTCTGGGAAATGACCGCAGAAAAGAAACTACAGCTAACTTTTAGAAACTACAACTCATTAAAAATATATATCATTTTTAAAAGTACAGGAAATCCTTATAGCACAGACTTAGTCTTCCTCCAGTGTTATGGATAACACAATACTTTCATTGGATTTTAAACCTTTCAACCACCTGCTTCAGATAAGACATGTCTTCCTTCCTCCATCCCTCCCTCTCTCCTCCCCACTTTTCCTTTCCTTTTTTCTTTCCTTCTTTTCCTTCTCCTTGTGCAAAGCCCAAGGTATGGCAATCAAATCCCAAACAACTAGGACAAACAGATCCTGAGTGGTCTAAAATACTCATTAAAAAACATTTATTTTTAAAAACGACTACAAATAATCTCCTTATTATCAGATTGATTACCTCTTATTGGTATGCAGAAATATAATTGGGACAACAAAGACTTTCTCTCTAAAAATTGCAAACTGCCTACGAAGTGTGGCTCCCTAGTTATGGCCTGGTTCCCTTGAATATATAATGGGCACTGTGCCCTCTGCGCCTTCCCATTATCCTCGCTTCCCCCCTTTTTTTAGCGATTTAATACTCCCCGTCGTGGAGAAACAATAGTGCCAGGTCCATAAGCTCCTCGTGCTGAGTTGGGCACAGTCTAGAAATTTAAACCTGATTTGAAATAGCCTGTCTTCTGCGATTGAATTAGGGGCCAAGTTAATTCAGTCCTGTATCTTGGAGACACTCTTCAGCTCCCGGAGAAGTTCTGGGGCAGACATTTACCCCAGAGGAGGCAGAGGAAACTCAGATTCTGCTGAGTGATCGTGGAGGGGTCAGTGTCAATGCAGTGCTTTCTCTTTTTTATTGAATTAGTTCCCATTTTGGAGCAACATCTGGCTGCCTGGCAGCCAGTGCCATACATTGCAGGCCAACAACATCAGGGTCTATTAGATAAATTTCATGGAGTTTTTCTCCAACTTTTTCATTGGGGTCACATCTTAACCAGTCGTTGGAAAGAGGCAGGAACAAGCACAATCACATGGATGTGGCAGAGGACTCCTTTTTTCCTCGGTCACTATGAAACGCAGGGAGAATTCGTTTATTAATAGTTCAGATAACTGAAGAATATTTCCCTATATGGGATCACATTTATTTAAAAATTTGGGGGGGATCATATTTATTTTAGCTCTTTGTGTAAAAAACACAAGAACAAACTCAGAGCTTTATTTAATTCGAATATAACACTAAAATAGCTTCTTAGGTCATTCAATTTTATTTTGGACTAAATCATCATCCATTAAGGTATTTTTTACATTTAAGCCTGCTTTATGAAACGTTTCTTTCAGTAACCGCTACCTAGATACAATTCAAAAACAGTTATAACGGGAATATCAGGATGCTCATCTCTTTTCCTTATTATTCGGGTACCTTTCTGATACTAATATTCTTAGAACTTTCAACAGAAGAACAGGTAAGAGTGAAGGAGCACACTGTGTTTTTCCCATGGTCGTCAGTTTGTGTGTGTGCAACTTCAAGTGGATGTTTGTGTGTAGACTCCTATCGTGGTTTTTTGAAAAACAGATCTCTGTTGTAAAAACACAATTTTCGTCGCTCCCCTGGCTCATGGGGACCTGAGTGACCAGGCACACCAATCAACAGATAGCCGCCTGTGCCCCAGACCGGACTACAAGGGGCCGGCTGAGCCTAGTGCCAGCCTATGCCCGTAGGTGTCGCCAGGTATACGGACACTTACTGGGAGGTGGGAGAGAGAGGAGGGGCTTGGAGTGGCAGAAGAGCAAACAACTAGTTATGAGTAAAAAACAAAACAAAACAAAAACCAAAGATAATATCACCAACATTTTTTCAGAAATGAATTAAATTTTGGATATTCTAGGAGATTTTTCTTCTATCCATCAACCAAAATTCTTATGGCGGTTCACTCAAAAACACTCTTTTAACAGCCTCATCCCTCCCTACAGGTCAGCCAAGACCACAACAAAATGATTAAGAGGATGGAGGAAAAAAAAAAGCAACTAATATAAAGAGGAAATAAAATGAGTGATTTGTTGACTTGCAGGGCCAAAGAAAACCATGACAATGTGTCTGGCAAGTTCTTCCTCTGTGTGGCTTGTTCATATTTGAAATAGCGGAATAAGATATCTGATGAGATTAGAAGTGTTTTCGGGTCAAGTTTCTATTTTTCTGGAATGCTTGCTAATTTAGACACTGCTTTCTAAGACAGGAATCATACCAGTGAAGCCCATTGCAGCTCCTTCTCGTGACTGTCTAAGAAGCCCAGCTCCATCTCGAAAGTCAATGTACACCAGATCTATGGCTTGGAGATCAAAGGCTTTCGCTATGACAACAATCTTTTGCCGGGCGTAGAGAATATCCAGGGTTTCTTTACTACTTGTTGCACCTGAAAATGGGATGTTAACAGAAAAAGGAGGCTTTAACTTTGGAAACCGCACCCAGATATTTATTATAAAACCTCAGTTTGTACAGATATCTATACCTCCCTGGGAATTGCTCCTCTGCAAAATAATTATTCAAATGTAAATGAAGACAGGGATATGTGGAGGCCAAGTTAAATCTCGTATGTGTCTGTTTAACTGACAAGGCACCTTTCAATAGAATTACTTCTACCTGCATTAAGAGAAGGCCCCTTCCCCATTCTGGGAGGCTGGGTCAGGGTCACAAGGGACTCCTGATATATTTTTTTCCTTCTTATCAATGCTTGAAAAGTGCCAGTCCAAAGACAGCACCACAAAAGGTGGCCCAGCAGCTATGCAGGGCAATGGTTCGTGTTTCACAGCAAGCACAGAACTGTGTGTGCTGTGGTTGCCATGCCCTGTCCAAACTGAAGTTCTGAGCCAAATGCTTCAGCTTCAGGGTCTGTCTGGATGCAGAACTTGGGGAGACGGGAGGGCACTTGTTTTGGGAGGGCTGGAAAGCGTCGATATGCCTTCTGTAGCCCGCTGAACCGTTGGATACACAAGTCTCCTGGAAAGACTCGTATTCAAATAAATTCAGTGTTTTCACCCTGAGGGGAGGGAAGTGTCCCTGTTTATATTTGGAGTATGCCACTCCCTGCTCAGGGAAAGTGCCTGTCTTCAGGTCACTGGGGCTGGTTTCTGTGGCCTCGGCCTCTTTTCTAAATGCTTCACGGTCTCCAGTCACACACGCAGACCCCTCAAGTGCAGCGCACGAGGGATGGTGAGAATCAGTGAAAATCAGCACATTTAATACCAGGAGTTCGGAAACATATTGTAAGAAAAATTTAAGATCCATTTAAAATAATATTTATATACCGCATATTCTGCAGAAAACAATTCATTAAGGCAAATGTGAAATCGCCTTAAATTTGCATTAGAAATCTAGACAGCCCACGGACGGATGTGAAAACAAAATACTGAAGCAACGGTGAGGCTGTTCACATAATATATTTATTAGGAGCAAAGGAGATGCCATATATTCTTGAGCATGCCTGGGGCTGCAGCAGGCTTTCTATTGCTCGTGTCTTCTGTAACCATGTAGTGTTCTAGAAGCAGGGCAGCTATGAGGACCTCTAAATTATCAGGAAGTAGTGTCCATTCCATTGTCATGACAAACCATTGTCACGGTTGGCAAATATACATTGTTATGTAAATGTCAAGGGGCAAAGAAAAAATATATACACACATATACACACACACAGAAGAAGAGAGAGAGAGAGGTCTTTGACACCTATGCTGGCTCGAAAGTCTTCTCCTCCAAAAACGACTGCATCTAGAAAGAGACCTACTTGAGGCCCGATCTTTAGGGTTTCTTCACACACTGCCTGTAAAAGAGCAGAAGAGAACCAAGTCTCACGGAAACGCGTGCGTCAGAGGGAAGAGGCACGGTGCCTTTTAGTAACAGGACGACCTGACTCTTAACACAATTTGGCTGAAGGCAGTCCTAAAAACGCAGCCCAAATTTACCCCTTTCAAAAGGTATTTAATATCATCCAAGATAAGTATATTGTATAAATTTGCTTTGTTTAATGGATTATATTAATATAGTTATAATGTACAAATTGTAGTCCATCTCATTTTTGGAGAAACTTTGAGTTAACTCATTTTGCTTGCGCTAGAAGTTATTTATATCTTTCCAGAATTTGTTTTTGCTTTAAGAGACTCTCATGAAACCACAGGGGAGAAGGAAGGAATTTTAAAATCAAACTAATTGAATTATTTGCATTAGGATCAAGCACATGGTCTCAGGATTAAAGACAGTACAAAAACCTGCAACTCCAGAGGGGAAAATAAAAATGCAACAAGTCATCCAAGATGTGTTCATAAAGCAACTTCGACATTTATATATGAAAGTCAAGGCAAATACCATTTGTCATAGACATAACCATGAATCTTGAAAGGTGGAGATATAACCTGCTAATATATGTGGGTGGGAAAGAAACGAGGAACCGGTGGAGACACTGTTGATTAATTTCAGACATTCTAAGTGCTTCTAAGTACATTATGGAATAAAATAGTGAAGCAGTGCTTAAAAATTAAATCACTGGATGAATCTGGTTGCATCTAAGGGATATGCTTTTGATTATATTCTCAGGATTCTGGGGCTAGCTGGAAGAATTTATGGTTAGTTGTGTAAACAAGCAGTTCACAGGACAAGTCTTGAAGCAGCTCCCCAAACATTTGCACTCGACCCCCTTCCACACATCCCAAGGCCTCAGAGTTGCCGCTCACACGTTCTCTCTCCAGTATAGTTCGACTATGTTTTTTTCTGTTGTTTTTAGTTATTTCTTTGCTCCTGCCTTCTGTGGGGGCTGGGGTGGGGGGTGGGAGTCCAGGAACTCTGAAAGGGGGTGCTAGATTGATGTTTGCAGGTCAGGTGGAATGAGAGGCATATTTTGGAAAATAATATAAATGCCCCCTGATAAACGAGAAAAGACGAGCTAGCTCTGAATTTGTTAAGGCAGGTAGTTTAGTGCAACCACACAGCGGTTGAAAACACTTGGCTCAGCTAATATTCCCGCATGTATATTAGAAGATATTCGATGTTCTAATATGGCAAATTGAAAAAATGTACTGCAAATTATTTGTGTGCATGAACTTACAAACAATAATCTTCTCTGCTAGCCATTACTGATAATGTTGCTACAGAGAGGGCAGAAAATTTCCCAATGAAAAGACAATTGATAGAAAAGAACATTTCAAAGTTAATTCATAAGGGTGACAAAATAAATTTTCATGTACATTTAGTCTATAAATGCAATAATTCAAGGCATATAATTACACAGTGATTAATTAAAATTGTTACTAGGAATATATAAATGCTTCATTTAAATATTTTGGACTGGGAAGCTTTTCCTTCTACTTAACTGATTTCATTGTTTTCTAAGATGCTGGTAACTTGGTTTTCAGACTATTACAGATAACAAATGGTGTTCAACGTTTCCTTTGCTTATAAATCTTTCTAGAAACACATTTTAAGAAGATGTTAAAATTGAAAGCAAAAGTTCTCTTTAGGTGATAAATAAAATGCTAACTTATTAACCATATTATGGCTTTCTTACCTTAAAATTGAGCAAACCCATTGCAGTTTCCACAAAAGGGATTAAATTCATTGGTTGTTCAAGTTTTCGGCCTTTTAAGTGGAATGAAAATTTGTCTGCAAACTAAAATCAGAAGTGTCATAGGTGATTAGTGGGGAAAAAATGTACAATCACGGAAATGTAGACACAGAAGTAGTATTTAAGTCTTTGACCTGAGGAAGTAATATCCAAGCCCCTTTCGTCCACACAAAAGAATTTTTTTAAAAAAGAAGAAGACCAAAGAAAAAGGTAATGAAGTTCCCACTAAACTAAATAGTAAAATCCCAAGCGTTACAATTTTTTTCTCCCAAAGGAGCACCTTGAGGCCTAGGAGTTAGAACTGGAAGCAGAGAGTATAAACGCTTTCCCTGAAAACGTATTTACTGAAGGCCTCTTGCCCTCGCTTCGTTAAATGCAAATGGTAGGCCCTTAAAACAATGAAGTCTTCCTCTACCTGCCATTCTGCTTTTGTTTCGTGCCCAGCACTGACATCAGTGTAACTGTTCAGCAGCCTTCCTTCCGTATTATTCATTATAGCACCATTACCCTTTGTTCAGATGGTTTTTCTTCATAATTTTTTAGCTTACCTAGGAAGACCTTAAAAAGGAAGTTTAATTCTTTGAAGACCAAAGCTCGCCAATTTTTTCCATGAGACCAGTTCACAGCTAGCTCTGTGCTGCCAGTGGGGTAGCCCAAATTCCAAAATCTATCATCTGGAAACATACAAAAGCTCTTGCCCAGATTCCTCCCCCCCTTCAAAAAGAGGGAAAAACACACTCTAAATTGTAAATCTATTATGTCTCTCTAGATCTAATAAGATGTGGGGAGATGGAAAAGAAATACAGGTATGATAAAGATATTTTTGTAAATAAAGATGAAAACATAGATATCCATTTTAAATTTAAGAAATATTCAGCCATTAATAGATATCAAAGGAAAAGGGAATTTTAATCATCTCTCCATTCAGTCTCAGTTGGGTAAATCATATCTAAGAGATTTGCATAAATATAAACCATCAAAGACTTTTCATCTTCAAAGGGGGTTTCAAGACCCTATAAGCTTTGTACTGTAATCATCACAGGTCACCACCCTGCAGGAATAAGGCTGCTATGGTAACATAAAAAAACTAATGCTTAAGGCTTAGCATAATATTCTGACTAATAGAAAGGAAACTCATTTGAAAAGCTGGCAGCCTATTTACCAGAAGCGGGATTAGAGGTGTTATTTCCCCTTCTAGCTGCCCCCTCCTTGCCGGTGCACCACCCCCCTAAAAAATCTAATCACTGGGATCTTTAAAAAGCTTTTGAGCAATTTGCAGTAACTTTACAATTAGGCTAAAATAAATCACAGCTTTCAGTAATGAAGAATTATTCCCAGTTGCTCCCACTGCCCCCCCTTCAAAGGACATCATCATCACCTCCTTAGTAACTTTTCAAGGGAAGGAATAACTCAACCAAAATAGCAAGAAGGAGCAGAGGGCGAGAATTTAAGGGGATAAAATGTATAGTATTTGATGTAGATGAAAATAAAACATAATGTATTTCTCATTTATGCTAGAAAGTGGTAGCACAGTATTAGTGGTTTTGGTGTTAAAAATGTAGTAGGGATTTTTTTTTTCATGAAAAAAAGAAAACTTGTGAAGTGACTTGCCCCGTTCTTTGTGATGACAGTTATAACTACAAAAATCATGGACTTTAAAGCCAAGTCAACGCTTTACAATATATTCCCTGTTCCTAGAGAGAACACCCCTAATGCCTTTTGTTTTTAAGCCAATAGGGGCATTTAAAAATTAAATATTCTGGCCCATCCTCCTCCTCCTCCTCCTCCCGCTCTTTCTTAAAAAATTGCATTAAGTACTAACACAAAAGGTAACTAGTGGAGAAGTTTCAATTAATTTTTTCAAAAGGAGACGATTAAATGTTTCCGGCCTGGTAAAGTGTTCATTTCAGTGAGGTGGAGGGGACTGGGGTAGGGGGAGGAGAAGAAGGGGGAGAAATCACAAAGAGATTGGGGAGGAGATGAAGTAGCAGGGCTCAGCAATTCTTTCAATTCCAGTGCACACCCAATAGTGTGTTGGAAGAATGCACACTGTTCGGGATTTGTGGGAGAATTGTCCCATGACAAAGGAGGCAGGGTTACGCTTGTTATAGTCCAATAAGCCGTGCCAGTCAAACAAGAACCCACACTAGCGACAAAAGGCGAGCAAGAGATTCTCACACAAAAGAAAACAAGTAAGCCCATCTTTCAGTTGTGCATCAGGCTCTGGGTTTTATGCTTCACATAAATACAAACGGAGAGGAAAAAATAAACAGCCAAAAGGACTTCTGTTAACTAGAAGTCCTATTTAAATTTCTGTGTGTATCTCACTTCCAAGGATTTAAAACAGCGAACAGAAGCCATAGCTGAAGGCTGGCTGGGTCTCCCCCTCCCCTGTCTGAAATTAAGGGTAATAACGGTGATAAATAGGCATTAACCATGAAACCAAAAGGGAACAGTGACTTCAGAGTCCATTTCAATCAACTTAAGACATATCTGAATGGGCTCAGGGCCCTTCAGGATATTAACATACTCTAACTAGTATCTCCCAGCTTCTGAGAGTAACCCTGGAGAGAAGAACTCCAGCTTAGTCAATAAATACTGGTCCTTGAATACGGGTCTTCGAGAAGGATCCAACACAGAGCTGTCCAAAAGAAACTGTATAGCAGCAGCTACATATGTAATTTTAAATTTTCTCGTAGCTACATTAAGAGGGTAAACTGAAACAGGTGAATTTAATTTTAACAGTGTCTTGCATTCAACCCAACAGATCCCAAATGTTATTTCAATGTGTAATCAATATAAAAATTATGGAGATAGTTTACATTCTCTTTTTGTCCTCTCGGTGAGTCCCGAGTCTTCAAAATCGAGTGTGTATTTTGCACTTTCAGCACATCTCAATTTGTGCTGGCCACGTTTCAATGCTCAGAAGCCACATGTCATAGTGGCTGTGGCACTGGGCAGCACAGACCTGACACACTGGGTGCATTCAGCAGGTGAGCAGTTTCGTAGGTGCTATGACAACTCAGGCTATTGCTGTGGTGGCAGCCATAGCCTCAGAGGTAATACTAGAGGTGCCTTCCACGAAACCACCACTGACCACTCGCCCCGACCACAAATGCTTCCAGTTTTCACACCTCACAGGCCCCAGAATGACACATTCTCTGCCCCAGAATGACCCAGTGAAATGTTATTTTATTCAGTGGAGATCTGCAGAAGAATAGCGACCCTCAAATAAAATCTAGCCCCTCCACCCTTTGTCAATTAAAACAATCATGGTGTAATCAGGCCCATTTCAAAAGTTTTCTTAAGTAATTTGACATGCCAACCACTTTACATTTCAGGTTTTTATTGGCTGAAAAGTCTGTCATGAAACACAAACACACCTGTCAGCAATTTAAAAAGGATGCACTAGAGAACTGCTCAGGAAATAATATCAGTGCTAATTAAAACCACTAGTTAAAAGCTTCCTGTTCATTCCTCCAGTTGCCCTAAAGAGTGACCTTTTCCTCCCCTTCTTTGGGTTCATTTTTTCATATGCAGCAAATGTGCCCTCCCTGCCTGGGATGATTTCAGATGAATCTCAGTAAGGGCCACTTACGTCACTGCTCTTCCAGGTGGAGGCCTTGGCTCAGGGCCGGGCAGGGCGGAGGAAGGGATGAAATTCTCGGGCAACCTAGTTTCCAGGGATTACTCTAGGAGGGCTACTGAGGAGCTTGTTCTGGCCAAACCACACATCCAATTAGGAAGCAAAGCATCATTTCAAAAGTGCATTTGGGCAAAGGCGAGTTTTCCTTGTGTGAAAGAAACGGATTCTTGCGCTTACTGCTTTTTCTCAAATCCCTTCCTCTCTGCTCTGTGCGTGCATTTTCCAAACCTGTGGCACCCAGATCCCTTCTTCTTGCCACTCCTCCTTAGCTGCTCTTGAGTCTTTTTGAGACGGAGTCTCGCTCTGTGGCCCAGGCTGGAGTGCAGTGGCGCGATCTCGGCTCACTGCAAGCTCCGCCTCCCGGGCTCACGCCATTCTCCTGCCTCAGCCTCCAGAGTAGCTGGGACTACAGGCGCCCGCCACCACGCCCAGCTAATTTTTTGTGTTTTTAGTAGAGACGGGGTTTCACCATGTTAGCCAGGATGGTCTCGATATCCTGACCTCGTGATCCGCCTGCCTCGGCCTCCCAAAGTGCTGGGATTCCAGGAGTGAGCCACAGCGCCCGGCCTCTCCTGAATCTTAAAGCAAAGCATTAGCTACTCACCCACTGGATTTCTTCAGGACTTTCCACCTTTGGTAGCATCAGGCTGGAAGGAAGGACCCGGGATTGCAAAAGGGTCTCTAGATCTTCTTCTGCCAGACCGCTGGAAACTGAGTTGACTCTCACACATTTTTCAGTAGGGCCCAGATCAAAGTCTTCAAGAGTTTTTACAATTCTCAGTCGAGCTTCATTCTATAAGTGTCAATAAAAAGTTTATTGTTATTTTTATCACTGAGGGGAGCACCATCAAATGGTTTATGAAACTGTTACCTGGATTCAGAGTCTGAGCACCATTACTCTATCTACACATTTCCTGTCCACCAAACAAGTAATATTTGAAAGAAGTCATCCAGTCTGAAAGGTGAGCAGTTGATTTCTAGGCTTCATTCGCCACAGCTGTAACATAGCCGAGACGCACTGCAATGCCACAGTGGGAGTGTCGTCTTTCTCATTAGCATTACTTCCCAATTGGAAGGGGGAAATGGTTAATGGGTAATTTTTCACTGATTGAGCATTAACGAAGTGCTAAGCATGGTTCTATGTTCTTTACCTGCACTTTCTCATTTAATAAACATAAGAAATTGGCTAACATCTAGATTGTGGCCGTCTCTCTGTCAGCTTCTTCACATTAGGGAAAAAATAAGGATTTTTCTTTTTCCACATGCAGCATGCTTTTTTTTTTTTTTACTCACTATTTTATTGCAACTGAGTTGAATCTTGACATTCAATTAAGAAGATGCTCACAGGAATCTGACAATGCGTACTACAAAAAAAGCTCCCACTTCTTCAGGTGGAAGGCAAGGAATCCCTTCATGAAGGGCTTGACAAATACATTTTTTTCTTTGACTTGACAGGCTCTGCTCCACAGTTCAGAAAAGCTGAAAGGCTGAAAGTCTGCTTCAGTATTTGAACTGTCCCCAGAAAAACTATATGAAACCAAGTATGTTATTTATTGGTTTCAGCTTGGGGGTGATGAAGGTGGGGTGGGGGAGAGAAAGAAGTGCATGGAAAGGGTGAGGGCTGGAGTCAAGAGAAAGAAAGCACTTGAGGTCATTACTTCCTGCCAATTTCAGTTTCAAAAGCAAACTCCTCCAACTTGCCAACAGCCCTCAACAAATTCTCATTGTCAGAATGAACACTTATCAAAAGTAGCTTCATTTGGGAAGGGTTTTTATGATACTAATAAAACTTTAAAGCTTCTCACTGCTGATGAATGTAGTTTAAAAAAAAGTCTCCACAATACATAGCCATTTGAAAAGCAATACTGATCTAGAAAAATAGCAAACAAAAGTAGAGACAAAAAAGAATCATTTAAGCCAATATTGAGTCTAAGTCCAAGCAACAAGACAACCTAGGACAGCAGATTTAAACCAGACAGATGTGGGTGTATGAGTGGGGAGGAGCAAGGAAGGCTTCCAAATGTGGTCTGAGTTAAACAATGTGAGGAAACGGTAGCTTAGAGTTGTCAGGTCAGATGGAAAGAGTACCTAAGACAGTTTAGGACCGCTCTGTGAAGTCCTGATTTACCGAGCTTCAGCTGCCAATAATTAGGCCAAGCTTAGACAAAAGCAACAGAGAGCTCAGACTAGCTAAAGTCAGAGATGATATAGCCAACAATGGCTTGGTTCCACATCATACCTTTGTTTTATTCCATAGATACAAAACTTGCCCACTTGCTCTATCATGTACTCTTTTTTTTTTTTTCTTTTTTTTTTGAGATAGAGTCTCACTCTGTCACCCAGGCTGGAGTGCAGTGGCGTGATCTCGGCTCACTGCAATCTCTGCCTCCGGAGTTCAAGTGATTCTCCTGCCTCAGCCTCCCGAGTAGCTGAGACTACAGGCACCCACCACCACACTCAGCTAAGTTTTGTATTTTTAGTAGAGACGGGGTTTCACCGTGTTAGCCAGGATGGTCTCGATATCCTGACCTCGTGATCCGCCTGCCTCGGCCTCCCAAAGTGCTGGGATTCCAGGCGTGAGCCCCAGCGCCCGGC